AAAATTATAACAGGTCAGATCTATCTAAGTTTTCAAAGGCCATGACATTTTGTTTATAGAAAAATAATAATTTTAGTGAAACAAACAGTAGTAGCATTTTATTATACCCATTTTAGCTCTGATTATAAACATAGCACACTTTAATATCAGAACCTGGCATTGATGAATTATCACCAGGTAGCGCAAAAGATACACACCAGCCAGTCACTTTCTCTCTTAGAACAGCTGTTGGGAGCCACTGTTGACAGAGCTTGACCTCCCTTCCTCCCCAGAGCTGTCTGCAGGTCCCTCCCGGCGGCTCCAGCTGCCCAGAAAGCAATTTTCTGACCGCTGTCCACCACTGAGAGTCTGCACCACTTTCTCTGCTGGAGGCCTTTATGCTTCCCGCTGCTCCGCTCAGTTTCCCATTAGATTTATTGCTCCCACATCTAGCTGTCTAGCTCGTCAGAGTTGAGTTTAAGTAAACTTTGGTTCAGCGTCAACCCAGAATTTTCCCTTTTGACCTTTCTCAGGAGGGTTTCTAGGTGACTGTTGATATGAAAGACCTCAGTTTTGAACTTGTTTCTTAGAAAGAAAAAAAATGAAATTCTTCATGTCAGCTTCTACCCATGTTCTAACCTATGTTTTCTAAAGACAGCTTTTCCTGCTTTAGACATGTCAACACAAAGACACGAGGCAGTTATCTGAGTAGACAGACGGTTTGCATTGAGAGATGCAAACGGACACTTGAGAGATGGCCGTTCTGAATGCACTGGACTGAATTAGTTGAAGGGGAGGATATGGGGAGGATGTTAGCACTAGATGGAGGGGCCAGAGTTATTTTTGGAAATCAAAACCAATGTCTTTGTTGTTCAAAAGGAGAAATTTGGGGAACCCAAGCGACTCCTATTTACTCTGCTAAATTCACTGACAGTCAATCGGATCTCCATGGTTGGGCTTTTTATGTTGTGAGCACTCCGCTCCCCGCACGCACTGCGCAGAGTAGAAGGCGAGTAAATGCTGCTGAATCCGCTCAGACGCGGGTCTGAAAAGTACAAGTCTAGGCTGGACCTGAAGCAATCAGCAGCTCTCAGATGTTACTGCCACGTATGATTTTAGCTTTTAAAAAAATCCTCACCCGAAGATATATTTCTATTGATTTAAAAGAGAGAGGGAAAGAGAGGGAGAGAGAGGGAAACATCAATGAGAGAGAGACAAACGTTCAGCACGCACCTCAACTGGGGATGAACCTGCAACCTGGGTATGCGCCCTGACCTGGAATCGAACCCGCGATCGTGGGACCTTTCCTTTCCGTGTATGGGATGACCCCCCAACGAACCACACCGGTCAGGGATGTATTTAGGTTTTAAGGTGAGAAATTCTTTAGTCAACCTACATGAAGAAATATATCGCAAAAGAAAAGGAGTTGCGTTGTTTCGCCTTACAATTTCTGGCTCTGTTCCATGCTATTAGCACATCTCACAGGAGCCCAGAGCGCAGGGGCCCGCCCTCGCAGTGCCCGGCGCTCCCGGGTCTCCTACCCCAGCTCCCACTCTCTCAGTGGCGTCTGTGGGAGAGAGTGTGGGGCGGGGACACCCACATAATCCTCCGAACCCCAGGACCAGCCGCTGGCACACAGCGGGCCCTGCTGCAGCGTCCAAGGAGCGTCCCCACCTTTCGCATCGCCCCGCGGCGTCCCAGAACGTACCTCACCTCCTGCCAAAGATGACGGGGCTTGTGGCTTCAGCTCCGAGAAACGTGGGGAATGGCGGTGCAGGCGGGAGAGCCCCTGCACTCCGCTCTCTACAGGTCCCGGGTTGGCCTGCGCGGGACGGGCGGCGCGGCTTTGCGCCCCGAACTGCCTGCGCACCTTGCGGGAATCTGCTCTCCCTCCGCGCCCGGCGGTCTCCGAGGGGCTCCTTTTTACTGGGGAGGAGCGCGGTCAGCTTGAAGAGGAGAGGCCGTTGGGGGGCTGGAGAAGACTGTCTGATTGGCTGCTCGCGTCCTCTCCTCGGGAGACCGCCCTGCGGTGTGGAGCTCCCCGCCTGGCCCCTGGCCGAGTGGCTGGCAGAGTTGGAATTCACAGCCGAGCACTTTCCTCTTCCTTCTTCTCTCCAAGGCCCGCCTGGACAGCTGAGCTCCGCTTTCGGCTGCCTCGCCTCCCTAGGTCTCCCCGGCCTGTCCTGGAAATACCACCTCCCCTCCAGCAGCCCTACCCTGCCTTCTATAACAAATGCTTCAAATAACCTGTGTAATTTCCTCCTCGTTATGAGCCCATTTTGTGGAAGAGGCAACGGGAGATCTAAGTGCCAAGCGCGGGTGGAGAGGCCGCCGGCACTCTTCTCCGAGGGCGCGGGCCGGCAGCCCAGAGAGCAGCCAGCGCACTTTCAGTGAATCCCAGCGGGAGGCCCGCCGGCGCAGTTGGGGCGATCGCTTGGCCCTAGTTCGCACCTGCGCCCTCCCAGCCCAGGGCGTCCGCCACTCCTCCTTGGGCTGAGGAACCCTGGATTCCGGGTGGAGAGGCAGCGCCTGGCCAGCAGCGCGCTATGCCTTGGTGGGACCAGAGGCCCCCGGAGGACAGCGGGCCTTGAGCCCAGAAACCTCCTTGGCCCACCTCCCCCACCCGGAGGACCAAGCTTGGCTCCTCCACAGAGTGGGTGCGGGAGAGGGGCGGATGCTGAGCAGCAGGGAGGGCCAGCTGGCCCTCCCTGCTGCTCAGCATCCGCCTCCCTAGTGTAAGAGGAAGACAGTTTCTTACCTGGGAAGGGCGCTGTGGAAAACCAGAGCAGGTGAGGAAGTGCGCATAAAGATCAGTGGTGATATGAACTGCAGTTACATCAACAGTATAGCTTGGGAATTTGTCAAAAGAAAGCCCCCCCCTCCCCCCCATGGCATTAGACCAGGCCAATCTCTGCAGCAGCGCTCCCCTCACTTCCGAAAATAATGAGGGTCATAAAACAATAGTGACTTCGGAGGGAGAACTACTTTCTGGATACTGAATCAAGCGCTTCACAGGCGCTCGTTGGTGTAACAATCCGCCTCCACTTTACAGATGAGGAAACTGACACTCAGGGAAGTTGGATAAGTGTGTGGGGTCAGGGTCAATATCATAAAGTGCGAAGGCACATTTCCTGGACTCCAGAGTTCAGGGGGTCGGGTAAGGGGTGGAGAGGCTGTGGTTTGAGGGCCGGCTCCCTGGGAGGCCTATCCCTGATGATAAAGTTCCCCCTTTCTGATCCACTGATTGATTTTCTCATCCATCAAGAGGTGAATGATTGATTTCTCTCATAAACAATAACAACAAAACAAAAATAAAAGCAAAACCCAACAACTAACACAAATAAGTCCTGTGTCTTTTTGCAAAAGAGAATACAAGCAGCCATTCACGGGAGCCAGCCAAGGGTCCCCCAGGCTGGGAGGGCTCAGTCAGGCCCCTTTCAGCCCACGGCAGGGGGGTTGGGAGGACTCAGACGTGAGTGAGGACAGCAGGAGGAGCAGGAAGGCCCAGGCCAGTTGTCCTCAGCACCGCACTCTGGCTCTCAGACTCCAGGGGTGAGGACTCATCCCAAGCAGGACTCTTTGAGTGAGCTAAAGAAAAAGGCCTGTCACAATTATGTGATGCCATAATCAATAAAGAAATTTTTTAAAAAGAAAGAAAAAGGCCTCTCCCAGACCACCGCTTTGGGAAGAAAAAGGAGACCCAGCCAAAGCTCTGGCCAGTTTCTCTGCTACCCAACCCTCAGGCCTCTGGGCTATCTTCCTGACAAAACTCATCTTGAGCTGTGACTCTTAAGTTAAAAATGAAACAAAACAAAACTGAGAATCCACATGTTAACACATCTCCCAATCCAAAACCAACAGTGGTGTTTCTTAAGTATGGGTTCTTCCCTAATTAGTTCCAAAAAGATAAGTGCTGCTTTAATTTTTAAAATAAAATGGAATCATTACATCACAATGAAGTTTAGATGTAAAGCAAAGGAATCAGTTTTCATCGTTTCCAATTTATTAAGCATTTTCCACAAACAGCATCTGCTTGCAAGGCCCAAACCCTCAAACCAAAACTGACTTGGAAACCAGAGACCTATTTGTTAAAAAAAAAAAAAAAACAAAACAAAAAAAACCACCACAAGGTAGTTTTACAATATTAAATAAAAATAACCAGTTTACCAAACTCCTCAACCACATGCATTTTTATCATTTCTGAAGACGTGGAAATCATACTGGCTCTGTGACTAGATTCCAAGGAGGGTCAGGCCACCATGCTTGCCTTCCTGAGACCAGTAAGTAAATCCACATCTAATTAGAAAGCTCACTTGTGGGTCTATCTTTCTCCCCTAAACTCCTTGCTCTAGGTCTATCAGTCTTTGCTCTCTCTGAAGTGTTGGATCAAGGGGGTATACAGGGACCCTCTCTGCCTCTATACCCTACCCTGCTGTATCAAGCTTCTCTTGCAAGATGTCTTCTTCGGAGGGAAGAGGTGCAGGTTGAGGAAAGGATATGAGCTGGGGATGTGGCTGTGCTAAGCAGATTAACAAAGAAAGAGGAGGAAGAGAAGGAGGAGAAGGGGCTTGGATTATTAGGGGCATCTATTTCACTGGGTCTTTGAAACCTTCTTTCAATTATTGCTAAAATATTAAGGCAGAAACCTGAATCAAAATGGTTCTGTTTCTGGACAGATAATACATCCCTTTAGCTGGCCTGCCGAGTGTTGGAGGGTGTTCCAATTAGTACAGTTTTTCCTTTTGAAGAGTTGGTTTTTCTAAGGAGGTCCCTGCTTGTGGAGTGCCGGGACCTGCACAACAGTGGCAGACCAAGGCCTCAGATTTACAGAAACCTGTCCCTTCTCCCCAAGGGCAGCCAGCGTTACCCCACCGGCCCCAACAGGCACAGGCCCTGGGGAGCGCTTCTCCCCGCCTTCAGGGCGGGTGCCCAGCAAACCGCCGGCGCCAGTGGTCCTCACCTGGGACCCCAGGCCCGCTCCCTCCTCTGTGAGTGGTCCGTGCCACTGACAAGGGAGCTTCTCACCGGTGTTCCTGCGGCCGCAGCGGCGCCACACTGGAGGGCTGCGGCGAGGCACTAAGGCCCGGGGGCAACCGGCCTTCTCGGGCCGCAGCGGGAACCGCAGGCGGCACCGCTCCCCCGGGGGGCGGCGGCGGAGGCAGCGCCAGCAGCTCCTCGCCCGAGGTCACCGCGCAGTCCTGCTCGGGCTCTGTGTCCCCGCCGCTCCCGGCGGCCGTCCCGCAGCCGCGCTTCTTGTCCTCCTCCTTTTTCCACTTCATGCGGCGATTTTGGAACCAGATCTTGATGTGTCTCTCGGTCAAGTTCAGCATGACGGCCAGCTCTACCCTGCGCGGCCGGGAGATGTACTTGTTGAACAGGAACTCCTTCTCCAGCTCCAGCAGCTGCGCTCGCGTGTAGGCCGTGCGCGTCCGCTTGTTCTCCTCGGGCTCCGCCGGGTAGGCGCTGCCTGCGGGACACAGGGCGTGAGAGGGTGCTCCTCCCCCCTCCCGCTGCCTTCTGCGGGCGGGGGTGGTGGTTAAAGCTCTCACTGACCCTGCGGTGGGCTCTCTCCACAAGTGGTTCTTGACCGGGTTCCTTAACTTGTGTTTGTATTGATGCCGATTAAAATGTACATAATAGATTCTTAAATCTATTTAATTCTACAAAGGCAATAAAATGACTTTAAACACAACTAAAAAAAAACCAAAAACACTTTCTGCCAATGACCCACAAGAAAAAATACATTTCAGACCACTACGCAGTTTATTACAGATATATAACTGAAACAAACGTTTTCAGGACATAAAACCAACTTGCACCACATGCGATGCTATCTAATTTTTTCCTATTAATTACTATTTCATTTTTTCAAAGAAAGTGCTCAACCCATTAAATTGATTTCATCACCCACTAACAGGTGCAACCCTCAGTTTGAAAAACCTTTAGCTAATAAAAATCTGAAAAACCTTGAGTTAATACAGCAATATACATATATCCATATATTGTTATTCTGACCATAATATTAGTTCTCTCTATAGTTATAGAGAGGGCCATTAAATTTCCTGTAATTGTCCTCATTTTAACTTTGGCTGGGCCCCGTCCTGAAAAAGAAGGCAAACTATTCTGGGCCCCTGAGGTTGCTATCAGCCTCCGCCCAGGTCTGGATCCCAAATCCTGGTTGAGGGGAGGCTCAGAGGCCTGAACCGAATCCCGCTTGGACTGGAGAGGATGGGGTGGCGGCAAGGGCTCCCCGTTCTAAGCAGGGAGAGAAGCAACAGCCTGGCCTGACCCTGTAGCTCACAACCGGTGTTTGTCGCTGCACTCCTCAGTCCTGTGCTTTTCCTTTCTATTTGAGATGCTGCCTGCACATGGGGGGAGCTTCACCAAAACGCTGGGAAAGGCCTAAGTCTGTCCTATGAAAGGCTCTCCTGTGGCTGTGGACTAGGCCTTAGGGAGTTGAAAACCTGGTGTGCATGTCTGTGGAGGAGGGTTAATGACACAATGGAACCTGCTGGGTTTCCCCCGGGCTAAATGCTGGCTCCCAGCAGCCAGGGCGGAGGCTTGGTCTGCGTCTGGGAAGGACACTTGCTTGCTTCAGGGCATCTCTGGGTCTTGCACTCCCAAGCCTCCCTTGGGAAGGTGGAGGAACATTTCAGGCATTTGAAAAGGCCCTCCGAGGCTCTTAAATTCAGCCACAACCTCTGCAGGGCCCTCTTCTGTGAGAGGTGCTGTGAAGGCTGCACTGGGGCCCTACCTGAGGAGACAGATGCTTAGGAGAGTTGGTAGGAGATGGAGGTGGAGGTGGAGGCTGTTGGTTCTGCTGTTGGGAAGAGGGCAACAGGAGAGCTGGCCAGTGGGGCTGAGACAGTTCACTTTTTGGGTCAAGTTTTTTGGAAGTTCCTGTTGTTAGTATTCATATCTGAATTATGAATAAAAGCCCTCTGGTCATCCTGCCCTCCCAGGGGCATGGAACCCCACTAGAAGTGGGCAGGCGGGTTCCCTGACCCCAGAAGTTTGGCTCCTTTGAAAATTTCCCCTGGAAGGGCCCCCCTTCCCAGGCAGCTCCCAGGAAAGGGGTCTGGGCCCCTTCCCAGCAAGCTAAGCCTGCAAGGGCCAGAGGGCGAAGGCAGAGGCCCCTCCAGCCCGGAAGCTCCAGCCTGGGGATGCCCCTTCCCAGGTCCCTCACTGCCCAACAAGGCTGCTGCTTTTCCTTCGGGTTTTCCTTTCTGGCTTCTTGGGCCCGCTGGAGCCCAAGCTCCACCACAGCTGGGGGAACACTCCTGCGGCAGGAGGGAGGGAATGTGGCCCACCTCAGGGCCTCCCTCGCCTTTTTCCGGAGGAAGCCCTCTGGAGGAGCGAGGAAGGCCAGAAACTCGCGTTCCCTGCGCCCTTCGGGAAGGGGAAGGGAGCCCGGAGAGAGCACATCTTCCGCAGAGACTACAGACAAAGAGCCTCCCCCTTCTCCCCATAGAAGGACGAGGTCTTCCTGACACCCCCCCCCCCTCCCGCACACACACCCCGCACCCAAACTCGGGCCCCTGGCCCAGCCGCTGGGGAAGTGTGTGCAAAAGCAGCGGGGTTTCGCCGGAGGTGGGTGGGGAAGGTTGGGGCTCAGTGGGGGCCCTGTCCTGCCTCAGGAACCGGTGGGCCTTACACTCAGCTTTGGAGAAAAGCGAACTAGGAGAGGCGAGCCCCGAGGACCCTGGGCGAGCCCGGACCCCCAAAGCCCTGCTTGGCTGTGCCAGGGTCAGGGTCAGGTAGGGCCGGCCAGACTCCGGGATGGGGCGGGGAGGGGCTCCAGCTGAGTCTCTCTCCCTACTCACATGAGTTGGGAGGAAAGAAAAGTCAACTACCATATTTGCGTATTTGCCGTGCAGGTGTAACCAGAAGTGGCTGCGACACGATAACATTGTGTGGCGGGGGCGGCACAGGCCACGCCGGAAATCTCGGCCAGGTTGGGGCGGAGAAGGAACCCGGGCTGCCCGGCTCCTGGCCCCCCGCTCCAGGGAGACTGTCTGCTACCACCGCGGATGGGGCTCCCTCTGCCCCGACTGGCTGAGCTGAAAGAGCATCTCCTTCCTCAGACTGACCTCCAGGAGTAGCGCGGGGAGACCCCTACACCGCTTCTGTCTTAGCATCGCTGGCGCCAGGCCCAGCTGCCTGGCTCCTGGATGAGCGGAGTCCTCCGCCTTGAGGTGAGCCCCCTCCTTGCCTCGCTCCTAGCCTGCAGCCTCTGGACACCGCTGCTTCCCTGCATCTGCTGGGGGCCGAGGCCGAGCCGTCCTGCAGCGAAGCCCACAGGCCCTGGGCCCAAGCGGGCCTGAGACCTGAAGGCTCTCTCCTGCCGCTCACAGGTACCCTAACCCAGCTCGGCTTCCTCCACGTCAACTCCCGGGAGTCCGGGTCCCCGGCTGGAGGGGGATCCAAGGATCCAAAGCTTTGAGTTCGGCTCTCTGGGAGGGGCGCTGGGAGCACTGGGCTCCCGGAGCTCAGCTCACAGACGGGGAAGGGGTTTAAGCTCCCAGGAGGAGAGCTTGGAAGCAGAGACGCTCCAAATTGGACCAGAAAAGCACGTCCACGCGGCGTGGCCTCGCTGCTCCCTGTGTACTTTAGTCCGACCCCGGTTATCCGTAAAGGCCGGGAACCGGAGCTCGGGGAGGTCCTGAGGAGCGATTGGAGGTCGGGGCAACCGGGGGAGAGTGGGCGAGGACAGAGAACCCGTACACAAGCTTACCTGCCCACTGGCCTTTCCACGCGTGAGCCTTGGTGGACTTCATCCACGGGAAAGGCAGCTGGACGCGGCCGGGCTCCTCCAGGGCGCTGGGCGCGGCTGCATCCGGGAAAGGCCCGGCGGGCGGGTGCGGGAGCGCTAGCTGGGCGGGGAGGTGGTGGTGGAGGTGCGCCATCGTGGGGTCCTCCGCGAGCGGGGGCACTTCGTACGGGGAGATGTCGGGCGGGCTGCCCTGCTCCAGGGCGCCCAGGGCGCCAGGGAACGGGGGCGGCGGCGGCGGCGGCTGGCGGCCCATGTACAGGCACGCGGGGGGGCTGGTGCTGAACTCGGGCGCCGGGCCCCGCTGGAAGGCGCAGGTGTCCTTGTAAAGGTGCGGGGCTGCGTAGTATGGCTCCTCGCCGTTCATGGCTGCCGCCGGGCTCGGGGACCGAAGCGGGGAGCTGGAGCCGGGGCCTCGGAGCTGCGCAGCGCTCCCGCCGCCGGCGCCACCCCTACTCTTTTTGACAGCTTCGCTCCGCTCCGGGAGGGAGCCCGCCGCCCCAGGGGCCTCGCTGGCCGGCGCCCCGCCATAGGCTCCGCGGGGGCCCACGTGGCTTGGCCCGGGGCTGTTATTGGCCTGTCCGCCGCCTTAAGAAGCGAGGCCCAGGCCCCCGCGAGCTCCGCAGTCGTTTCGATTTTCTCTCTCCGCCGCGTTCACTGCACACGCCTCAGGCAGTTGGCCGTGCTCTACAAAGTGGGGCGCGCGTGAAAAATCTCAGAACTCTCTTCAGTTATAGAAAGGTTCATCAGACGTGAAACGATCTATTTTCCTTGTGTGCTTGATAATGTACAGAATATATTAGTAAATATATTTCTATATGATGGGTTGGTACTTTTAAACATGTTAGGGAATATGGTCAAAAAAGCTTGCAGATCCCAGCACTAAAGGTCAGAAGCAGTTCGTTCTGTTTCACCTACGCATTTTGCACACAGCCGCCAAAGGTTCCAGGAGCTAATACACACGGATCCAGCATTCGTTGTATGTTTTTATCGGTGGCTGTGCGGTGGAACTTCTGAAGAATAAACTAACGTCTGAAGCATTCACGGTGGCTTTTTAATTTAAAAAATAATTAGGCATTGTTAATTTTGACAAATTGGGACTCATTTGGTCAACTCAGAATAGGTTTTAACGTGGCAGGGGGGGGGGGGGGGGAAGCAGCGTCCCTCTGTGGCTGGGAGATGGGAGCAAGGGGTTGGCCTGGTTTCCAGACCCTTGAGGGCTTTCCACCGACCCGGATTCAGATGATCTGGAGATGTGGGCAGTGTTTACAAAAGAAATAAAAGCGTTTTTATGACAAGGACCGCTTTAGGCTTCCACCGGTTGGGTAGCTTCTAGGCACTCGGGGGTCCTGACTTGAATAGAGACGCTTTTTTGCGGCCTGAGGGTGCGGACTGACTCTCTCCGCCCTCGGCTCTGTGGCACCCACTCGGAGACTGTCTGGGCTTGACCAAGGCCTCTGATCATTTTGCCCCGAGGGTGGGTCTGGGCGGCCTCGGACTGGGTCCTGCCGAAAGGAACACATTCCTGGGGTTTTAGAAAAACTAGACACCTTTGCAGAAATGCCTAGGCAAGAGGGAGCATGAAGCACAAGGAGCCGCAAAAGAAAAATCACTTCGATGTGACTTTCCTAAAGCACTAACTAATCCAGTCCTTTAACAGGTATATTTTAATATATTTTTCCTGTAAGAAATATTTATGATTTAGTTTTTTTAAAAATTGATTGGAGAGAGAGAGGTCTGTTGGCTTCTGCGGTACCCCCAGGGGGATAGAACCACAGCCCCTTTGGTGTACAGGAGGGCGCTCCCATCAACGGAGACATATTTGTTTTAAATGCACACGGATTGAGTGCGCTAAACAAAAACCAAGGTGGGCTTTGACTTCTCTGCAGAGACCTTTTAGATGCTGGTGTCATCTCAGAACTGTGCTCTGTATTGAGGGGTCCGCGAAAGTCTGGGAATTCGCGTAGCTACCAGGATGGTGGGTGGGATTTCTTTAGGGAAAAGGACCACCTGCGGGGGAGGGGCAGGGACTGCAAGCCTGTGGGGCCTGCGCACCTAACCTCTGCAAGCCCCCAGTCAAAGAGTTCATTGTTCTTGGAGTCAGAAACCGAGGAGAGCCCGACGCTATCGCCCGAGCCGCGGTGACTGCTTCGATCAGGAGCGCAGGGCCGGAGGGGGTTGCCGGGCCTCGGCGTGTTGACCCTCAGAGATAATCTGCCAAACCGCTGTGGGTCCGTCGGCTTGGCGACGCGGTTATGAGCTGGCGGCGGCGGGCTCCGCTTGGGACAAAGATCGGCCACTTCTCCCCTCCCTTCCTTCGGTCTGCCATCCCACCTCCTCCCTTGGCAACGAGCCGCGTCCCCTCCTCCCCTCTCCGGCCGCTCCGCAGCCCCCTCTCTTGCAGTTGGCCTCAGCTGCCACCCTCGACCAGAGTGTTTACTTTGCACTTCTCGCTAATTGCACGTTTCTGTAAATTGGGCTCCATTTCGATGCTTCATTTGCTCCCATTTGCTGTTTTTGCTCGGCCCTGCGGAAAGAAGAGGCGCTCAGCAGAAAGCAAACCCACTCACCGCGCAGGAGGGCAAAGCCCGGGAACCGGGGTGCTGAGGGGCACGTTCTCACCCTCACAGCGGCTATCCTGTGGCTTGCTACCTAAAGAAGTGACCCAGGAAGCAAGATCAGACATCCAGTTAGAGTTATTATTCGGTGGGACAAAACTCATTATATTGGGTTGGCTAATTATGACCTGCATGTATATAGCAAAACCTCAGCCCCTGGAGCCCTCGCTAAGCCAGGCCCCGGGCTGGTTTCTTCTTGCCTGCGGCTCCCGGTACCATAAAACCCCAGGCCCATTACAGGTGAAATGCGTTTCCGCACCGCAGCCCCGCTGACGCCCGCGCCCCTTTCACCTCCCACTGGCCCGGAGCGTCACAGAGCCATTAGCCGAGCGCCTGCCTTCCCGAGCCATTTAACAGCAGCTCTTATGGATAAATAAACAAGAAAGGCTGTAAACCAATTATAGTGTGGACAGTGAAAAAGTCGTTTATTAGTAGAACGCGCTGATAGCCCTCGCTGATGTTGGAAGTCCTCCTCTACCCTCTACCCTCTTTGAGTCCTGACCGCGTGCGGTTCCGCCCTGGACAACATCCGTCACCTTGTTCTCTCTTCCTCTGCGGCTCCTCAGGCTTGCCAAGGGCTGAATCTGCCTTGGTGTTAAGAATTTTTAAGCCATCCTATCCCATGATAAAGGAAAAAACAAACAAAAAAATCACCAGACAAACCTTAACTCTAAGGATATGTTCATAAGGAATTTATTTTATTAGATCATATTTGTTTTTATAATTAATCTGCTGTTAAAATACAAATTAGATTATATCCCGAGTTGAAACACTAAAGCGATGTGATGTATGTAATGCAAATATTCCCATAATTTCCCTTGAATTTTGGCAGTTAGCCTCTCCTTCAGGGGGCACATAGCGCGGCTTTTATTCCCCAGGGCCGAGTCATTCCTCCTCCCGTTGTGGGATTTCCTCAGGAGTCTGGGACAAACCTGACTCATTCAGGAAAAAGGACTTACTATTAAAGGCTCTCCACTGGCTTTAGGGCAAAACAACCCAGCAAAAATAAGTGGAAATCAGTTTCCAGAAAACTCAGCCACCCTTTATTCCCCCACCCCCATCCCCAGTTGTGTAGATAAATGCAGCCTAAAAATCTAATTGACATGGCACTTGCCTTGCTGTGTGCCTCACTGGCTTTCTCTGTCCAGAGCGCAGCGCAGAAGGGAGGCTCCCGCGCCCCAGGGCTGTGTGCTGTTTATGCTTCACTCAGGAGCGGGACTCCCAGACTCCCAGCCCTTTTGTCTTTTTGTTTGTTCCATCCTCTGAGGCTCCCAGTTTTCTTTGCAGCTGAAAGGAAAGTGTGAAAGGAAAGACTCCAAATGGTCTAAAAAGCCCCCAGCTTATCCTTCTCTGGAATCACTATGGCCCATCCTGTTCCTTCTGGACCCATCCCTTCCACCTCCTCTTACCCAGGCTCCTATCTGAGCTCCACCATCCAGATCTGCAGTCTCCAGAGACCCCAACCTTTATCATTGCCCTCCTAGTCTTAGTCCTGGATAAACTCCTAGCTTCCATCCAGCTTCCCTTCTTTGCTTTCCACCCTCCTCCCATCACCATTTCCTGTGACTAATCCTTTGTTTTCCAGGGAACCATTTCTTACCTTCAGGTTCCTGCCGGACACACACTTCACAGTCACTCCAGCTGCCTTCCTAAACCATCCCACTTTTCACAAGGTTTATTAGTTGAAGGACGAATATTTTCAATAAAATATTTTATTTATTTATTTATTTATTTATTTATTTATTTATTTATTTATTTTAGAGAGAGGAGGGGAGCGGGAAAGAAAAACATCCATGTGAGAGTAATCTGCTGCCTCTTGCACGCCCCTATCTAGAGATCCAGTCAGCAACCTGTGCATGTGCCCTGACTGGGAATTCAAAGGGCAAGGGATGACGCCCAGCTAACTGAGCCACACCGGCCAGGACTTCGATGCTATTTCTGATGAAACACTGACACAGCCCTTCCTGTGTGACTATCTGCAACCCCTTTGAAGGACAGAAACCCAATAGTAAAAATATGTTTGGCTTTGGTGGGTGATGGAAAGCTCTTCAGAACTGTATATAGCCCTCTTCCAAATCTCTCTCTGTCCTGCACAAGCTGTGTATCCCCTGACAGTTATATCAGTCCACTAAGCTTCTCTGTCCTTATTTGTAAAGTGGACACAATAAACTGCCCATAAGGTAGATCCACTGCATACAGTAATAACAGCACACACATGGAGCCAGGCTTTGTTTCAAGCACTTTACATATGTTAATCCTCATTAAAATGCTGTGAGGTAGATCCTCTTATTTCCACTTTGCTGTGGAAGAAATAAGCATAGAAATGTAATTTGTCCAGAATCACACAGCTAACAAATGGAAGAGCCTAGATCCCAGCTGAGGTCTTAGGATTCATTTTCTTTAATGTGAAACTATACTATCTTTGTAGTAGGTAGTCAAGACATTTAAAAATTTTGTTTTTGTGAGAATTCAGTGAGATAAAATGTCTCATGTTCCTGGCACTCCGTAGGCACTCAGCAAACGGCATCTCTTCCCTTCTCCCATAGTAATACTTGCAATGCATCTGCAAGCATTAGTAATTGTTGGTCATCTTTGCATACAAGAGCACTGGGTTGCTCTATCCTATGTTTTAGGGGAATATGCCCCAAAGTGTTTAAAGAGGTAGGGGATGGGAGAGCTGGATGGCATTCTCCCAAGCCAGCCCTCCACACACCACAGAGAAATAGGTGCAGGGGCTTCTGCTTTTCTA